CTCTTATTCAGTTAGTCTTACTGATATTCCATACATTTGCAGACTTGTGGTCTCAGGCACATAGGCTTTGAATCGTTCATGAATCATAGGCTTCTAGGCTTTGAATCGTTATCTCAAGCAATTTTCCCAAATTTAAAGTTTCAAGTGTTATGTTTGCTTCGATGTGAGTAAAGGTTTTCTATCACGAATATGAGGAAGAATTCTTTCAGAAATAGATTTCATAGCTGAGCATCAGTTTTAAGAACTGAGAGACTTGGTGTAATAAAAGAAGCTCTTAAAAACTATTTTTATAATGAATATAGAAGCCTGTATGTATGTGTAGCAATAAATAAATAAATGATAGCAAACCCATATCGATCGAATAGTTTCTGAGAAATCGAATTTTAAAAAAGTCAGGCATTTAAAATTTGATTTCTCATGAACTATTTAAGGTTCCCTTCAAATAAATTCTGCCCTTTTTTCGAATTCGTTAAAATTATGCAAAACTTTGCAAACCTTGCAAATCAATTTTTTTTACATTTATTAGATAATAAAAAAATAAGGGCCGGGATAGCCTGGTTGGTAGGGTACTGGACCCATGTCCAAGAGGTCGTGGGTTCGATCTCCGCCGGTCGAAGACTCCCTTGTAGTAAATGGAGACTGATGCACGTTAAATCTGTCGAGTCACAAGGTCCTCTATGTTCCCATAACAAATTGTGGTGTAATCATCGTACTTGATTCGAGAAGTTCATGCTCTGGCGAACCTGAAAATTTCAACATACGCTCAATGCATTTTTCGTAATCTCCTTGAACTGAACTGAGGTTCAAGAAATAAAATGTGATCATCGTAAAACTTCGTTACCATCGAAACCATCGTGATACTTTGGTCTTTTCTTTACTCTTTCTTTTCTCTTTTCGCAATCTGCTTTGCGTTTTGCTTCAGTTATTACTTGCTCGATTATTTTTGTATGTTTTTAATTTTGTTGTTAAGTTTTCATTAAAGTTATGTTTAAATTTAGCATTTCTCCTTTTTGTAATCTTTGGCGACAGACTTAACTAAACATGCAGACTTATAATAAACGCAACCGATTTCTCGCCANGTGCATCAGTCACAATTTAATACATGGGGATTCTCCGGCCAGTTGATTTCAAACTCCCGTTCTCACGAACACGAGTCCAACCGAGACTATCCCGGCCCTCGGAACATTATTAGTTACACGCTTCGTAAAACAGCTGAAATGTATTTGATTTATCACACTGCTAGTAGCAAAAAGTTTAATAAGACAGAGTAAGGCCGCCATAAACCATATTCTGATACACAGATGTCTTGTAACTCAATATTTGCCACTCTGCATTGATGATTTTGAGAAAATTATAATTGGACGTGCACATGCTGTATTGTGGTCGCTGATCAACTACTCGGATAGTTGCTACAAAAGAAAGTCTGTTCCAAGAATCGTAGCATAATTCTACTACAAGTACATAACTTGTTTCTTTAAACACGTTTTTACACTATAAAATATTTTGTCTTGCAGTGTAATCATCGTACTTGATTCGAGAAGTTCATGCTCTGGCGAACCTGAAAATTTCAACATACGCTCAAAGTATTTTTCGCAATCTCTTTGAACTGAACTGAGGTTCAAGAAATAAAATGCGATCATCGTAAAACTTCGTTACCATCGAAACCATCGTGATGCTTTGGTCTTTTCTTAACTTTTTCTTTTCTCTTTTCGCAATCTGCTTTACGTTTTTCTTCAGTTATTACTAGCTCGATTACTTTTTTATGTTTTTAATTTTGTAGTTAAGTTTTCATTAAAGTTATGTTTAAATTTAGCATTTCTCCTTTTTGTTATCTTTGGCGACAGACTTAACTAAACATGCAGACTTGTAATAAACGCAACCGGTTTCTCGCCAAAAAATCATACCTCTGGAGGTATTGATCCAGGAGTTTCTTTGTCTTCTGGATTGAGCTGAAAATGACAAGGCTACGGGGTTGAACATTAGTAGTCGTAAATCCAAAATCGGGTCGGCAGTTCAACGACGGTTATAAAATAAAATAAAATAAAATAATAAGGAATGCTGAATAATTATTAAAAATTATTTTTTTGTGGGGAATTATCTACAGAAAAGCTAATTTCAGAATTGTATGAATTGTAGTTGTTGTAGTTCTAGTTCATTTACGTCACACTAGAGCTGCACAATGGACCATTGGCGACGGTCTGGGAAGCATCCCTGAGGATGATCCGAAGACATGCCATAGCAATTTTGATCCTTTGCAGAGGGGATGGCACACCCGCTTCGGTAGCCCGACGACCTGCACGCGAATCAGAATTGTATGAAGTTTCTTTTTTATTCATTTAAACATGGACATGGCGAAATATGCAAAAAGTAAAATTAGCCCTTGAGGGGTTTAAATTTCCGACCTATCTTCTCGCCAAACTATTCATTCCCTATTTCATATGTTTTTGTGTGTGTGGGGGGGGGGTCAGAATTCAAGATCCGTCGAAGAAAATAAGGTATGTTTATTCAGTAGAAGTACGTTATTGTACCTGACTTAAACTATAGTAAGCACTAACTAATTAGCTTATTTTAGGTCACCCTCTGATGAATACTAGTACTTGAATATCCGATCTTTAAGTCAAAAGTTATTCAGGGTATTTTTCATTTATTTATATGCACACGAAATATAAACTACCGTTTTATCTAATGAATAGAAAATTGTAAAAGCTTTATGATTTATGTATATGATAAAAATACAATTTTCTCATAATAGATCATTCATATCGCTTCAATAAATTAAATTAAACATTCTGACACAGTTTTTCATCGTTGTCAGTGCATTTGTATTGGCCGGAAAACCAATGGTAGGATCAGGCTAACCGTGGGAGAGTTTCGTGGTTTTCATCTCCGTGTAACGCAAATGCGGTTTAAGTCCATCAATAAAACCTCCACGAAGGCAAACTTCTCCCAATACTTGATCCAGGAGTTTCCTTGTCTTCAGGATTGAATTCAAAATGACAAAGATACGGAGTTGATTATTGGTAGCTGTAAATTCGAGATTGGTTCGGCTGTTCAACGATGGTTATAAAAATATCCCATTGTGCAGCCCTAGTGTGAAAATACTAGTACTAACACCAGAAATGTATGTTTTCATTTAGCAACGAAATGGACAACATATTGTTTTTCTTTGAAATTATTTTTTTATCCCTGTTTTAATGGCTTATAACATTCTTACTCTACTCTGCGATTATTACGTTTTAGATTATTCTCTAAATTAAGAGTATATAACTGAAAGAGTTATTATTCTACGATACCTTATTAAGGTATATTTTCAGAAAAATCTATTTAACTCAGTATTATTGACCAAATTAAAATAATATATAATGAGAAATCAAGAACTTAGCTATCAGCTTCAAGCACTATGTGATGCTTGCTCAAATTAGTATATATTAGTGAGGGAAAATATTAAATTATGATTGTCAATTCACCTTTAATTACAAAATTTATTTAAAAAACTAGAAATCCCGTGAATCCCAAGGGAATCCCCTTTCCATCTCTAAACATTTCCCTTCATATAATCCCAAAGGGAAATGTTTAGACATGGAAAGCAAAAACAGTTAAGAAGTATCACTGGCTGCGGTCAGTAAGTGGGTGGGTGACCACGTGTGGACCGAGGGTGTGCGGTATGGGTTCTCGTTAAACTATTCTACCGCAAAGTGCACGTAGGTGGTCAGGATACCAAAGCAGAGGAGCCGTCCCCTTTGTAGAGGATCAGAATTGCTATGGCATGTCTTCGGATCATCCTCAGAGATGTTTCCCAGACCGTCGCCAATAGCCCATTATGCAGTTTTAGTGCGACGTAAATAATCTATCTATATAACTTCCAAGTGTCTTTCTATTTCGTTACCTTTAACATATTAACAAAATCTGCTTACATAAAATTATAATAATTGCATATTTTGTACGCAAAACTAAATTTTTATTGACTTTTATGAAAAAAAGTGAGATAAAGAAGCTACCATGGAGGTTGGTGAACGGAACAGTACAAAATAATAATATTATAGTTTATTTGTAATACAATGTGTACTATGTTTAACGTAATGATAACAATAAAATAAATTCAATAATCTATGATTTGCAATGCAAATTGGAGTTGTTCAAAACGAAGCATCTAAGTGATTCGAATCAATAAAATCAGTTTACTTTGGTGTGATTCGAGTCATGCGATTCAGATCACAATTTGAATAAAGAGATTCTGATCAATAATTCAAATCATGTGATTGAGATCAGTGACTCGAATCAAGTGATTCGGATCAGTCATAGAAATCAAGTGATCTCATTTTGAATTTTTGTGACTTGGATCACTGATTCGAATAACATGACATAAACGACTTAATTTCAAATCACGTGATTCACATTAAATGCTTCAAAAAACTTACAAAAAATTCGAAAAACTTCACTTACTTATCACTATTTTTTTTAAAACTAATATCGACAGAAATAACTAATATCTATTGAAATAAACTGTCGATAGAAACATCGATTAACTAATATCTGATTAATGAATTATTTTAAGTAAATAAATCTACTTATTATATTGTATATTTTGCTATAAGGAAATTTAACAACGGTAAAGAAATGTCTTTTTATCTGGATTTCTTTAATTGGAATAATGAATGTGTAATAATATCTTAGGTTTTACAAGACATTTTTAACTGACATCACTGTGAGACAAAACTAACTGAAATTTCGATAGAAACAACTCATTTCTATCACCGAATCAATTCAATCACGAATAGAACCCAACTCCAATACAAATATAAAAAACAAAGAAAATTTTGAATTTATAAATACGCGTACATTATATTAAAAAAAAAAATGATTTGAAACTGAAATCATCGATTTATCGATATGAAATCATCAACCCATTTCTATGCAGAAATAATTAAAATTTGTTATTCAGAAATTATTGTAAAAAAGTATCTACAAAATAATTGATTTTCGATTGAGTATCGCAATATAAAAGAGTGCCGCAGAGAACGCCAAATGGCGATATAAACCTGTTTTGGCGAACAACTGCCGCGAAGTTTTGGAGGAGTGATCGGAGATGATTTTCATCTTCTTCATCTCGCAGACCATGTGGTTATTTTGACAGGGGAAAGGGTTCTTCGAAAAAGCGATGTGTTTAATATCGGCTTTTTCAATTTCTTCTATTTAATGATTTCTTCGAAATTAAATAAAAGTGAACAATTATCGTTATGAATGAGCGGAATTAAAAAAGGGTTTCGTGAACTTGGATTAAATTAATTTGGATACATACATTCGAGGAATATTTATTTTGTTTTACCTGGATTATGTGAGGATAAAAATGACCAGTCCATGTGCGGTGACAGTTATAATCCTTTTAGGGATAGTGTACTCTAGATATATTGATTGCACTAGTACGCACAATTTACACAGTCTTTTGAGGCACCCACATTATGCGGAGGGACACCAACATGCGCTCCAACATCATTTGCAAGTAAGATTTATGTCGTACTATTGTTTCAAAAATTATTTAACAATGTTCTTTTAAGCAGTATATATTAGTTGGAGGTTATCTATTTAATTATTTTTAAAAAAATTTTAAATCTATTTTTTAGTTGCATATTAAAATGTATTTTTTTAATATATTTTTTGTTTTATTAAGATTTATATAAACATTATATAACTTATTTTAAAAATTTAAATCACTGATGTATGTACAAAATATATAAATAACTAAAAATGGAAATAACTGCTTTATGGGTGTACAATACGAAAATTATTTAATATATACATAAATACCATAAGGAGATTTTAATGTTTCATAATTTTTGTATTTTGAATATTTTGTTGGAATTAAATACAAATCAGCCATTCATATACTAAGTATATGCAAATTATTAAAAACTAAAATCGTCGATTTGTTCATACAAAAGTTTAAAGTTATTCAATATAAGGGTTTATGTGCTAAAATTATTAAAACTATAGAAATTAAAACCACAAATTTATTTATACAAATGCTTAAAACTAAATTATTAAACTAAAAATCGATGCATTGCAATTAAAACCACCAATTTATTTATATAAATGCTTAAATCTAAATTATTAAACTAAAAAATACCCTATTTTAATTTCTAAAGGAATACAAAATTTTATTATCATTAATTTCTTTAATGAGTAATAAAAATAACAAAATGAATGATATTTTTTCGAAATTTAATCAAGCCATAAAAGTATTACAAAAGGTGTTGCTAACTTCAAAATCCAAAGTTAGTAAAATCGTGCTCATTTATATTCTGATGTTGAAAACAAAGTAAAATTTAAAATGTTCCATTACGTCAATTCAATTTCTTTTAAACAAATATAGCAGGAGATAGAAATGGAAAAGTGGTTTGACAAAATGTATTTTCACATTTAACACAGCTTCGTTCGAAACAAATCCACTTCAATTACAGCTTGCTTTTCAGTAGCCAAATGTGAGCTTCAAAATTTAATTCTATATTTAGTTAATACGATTAAAATCCGTATGACACGTGAAGAATAAAGGCGTTTAGTTTTTGTCTGACATTTGGTTCAATTTTAACATTTAAAAAAATATATAAATTTTTTTCGTTCGCAAAGTAAATATTAATGCAAAAACATTTTTGATTTAGCCAAAGTTTGTCTGAGTTTTTAATTGCAATTATTAAGAAAGGTAGGAAATTCGACCTAAATAATTTTCTTGGCCAGTTTTATGGCATTTAAATATCTTACTGAATTTAAGGAATTTTATTTCTTAACTGAAATATGAAAATATATATTATTAAACTATCCTGCAATATGCAACAATTGCAGAACAGCAAAAATTTATAATTTTTTATGTATTAATAAAAATTAAATTATCCAACGTGTCGAAAATCATCAATTTCGACGCAAATTTCGTTTTTTTTTTATTGTCTATATAAGAACTTTTGTTCATTACCTTCCTAAATCTGTTTTGTTCTCCGATCTTCAGACTTGAAGTTAAAGCAGTTTTTTTTTGTTTGCTGACAAAATGAAACAGAATTGCAGTTACATACTTGAAATGCATTTTTAGAAAAAATTTTGATTTTGAGAAAAACTAGTTTACGTTAACACACATTACAAGAAAGTTAAATATTGAATTCGTTGAAACTTTGTACGCAGATTTTATATAATGTTAGCTCTATTTTGAATTGTGAATTTAATAATTTTATTACTCTTTAAGAAAGAAGTTCAAACTTTTTATTTTATTTAAAGAAGGTCAATACTGAACAATATAATTAGTTCTAATTCATTATGTTTTTGAAATTTTTTAAAGATTTTAAAGATTTCTACTTCGAAAATATTTTGATATTGAAAAAAAAAATACTTTGATATTGACGCATTACAAATTGTTGTAGAGTCATTGGCGTGACAAGAAAAATTTGTAAGTTTTATGATCGAATTTGCAATTAATTTGATTAAAATATTTTAAACGTTTAAAGGTTAAAGCTTATTTTAGATATATAATGTTAAAAACCTGCTTGCCAAAAATAAAATTCAAGTTTTAATGAAGGCAATTTTCAAAGTTGTTACTCATTTTTACGTCAAATTGTTTCTTAGTTTTGTTTCCAAATGAGTACTTTACGGATTTGTAAAAATCTTGTTAGAGAAAAGTAAAATGCACAAATGATAATATTTTTTTACGATTTCTAAGCGTAAGTTTTGAAGAAAAAAAAGTACCTAACTTTGAAAGGCAGATTCATTGAACTTTTTATTTGTCGCAAATTTTTTGTGTTCCTCAAATTTATCAACTTCGTCTTTTTTTAATCAATATTACTTCATTGAAATTCTAGATTTCCAAACTCTGTTTAGCTAAAACTTTTGAATATTAGTTTCAGTCATTATTTTCATATTTTATTACGTATATGATGATACCAAAGGTTTTTAAAATCCAAATTATTTATGAATTTTTAAAACGTAAATTTTTTAAATACGAATTAAGAGTTGAAAGAGATCTCAGTTTGAAATAAGTATAATAAGCTTTGGGCTTATATACTTATATTAATAGGCTTAGTTTGATATAAGTATTGTTAATTCGCCCTTTTTTTGTTATAATTTTGTATTCTTTCATCAAAATAATTTTTAAACCCTTTATTTTACCCATTTTTATTAAACTGAAAACTATTATAATACTTAAACTATCATTATACTTTAACCGTAGTGATATTAAATTTTAAAATAATCATTTTAAATATTTTTTTATTTATTTTCTATTTATTCTAATTTTTAATAATATTTCACATACTAAGGCCTCCTATTTTTATAATGCGTGATTACAGAGGAAAGATATAATCTGTAAAGCTGTACAGTTTTTATTTTATAACCGTCGTTGAACATCCGTTGAAAGCCTACTATTGTTCAACTTGTAATTTTGAACCCAATCCAGAAGACAAGAGAACTTCTAGATCAAGTATTCGGAGAAATGTAAATTTTTTGATGAAACTAACCCGCATTTGCGTTGCATGGAAAGTAATACCACGAAAACTTATCTCGGTTAGCCTGGCAGCAAAGGGAATCTAACCCATGATTTATCTACCACTGAGGATATAAGTCAGCACTGTGGTCAGTGCTAGTAGGGTGAGGAATTCATGTCGACCAGTCATCGCTGGGGTTCACCTCATTGGTGACTTGAGACCCCTTTTTCTTTTTACGAAGAGTAAAGTATCTTGTAGTTTTGGATCCTATTCAGAAGGCGCTTTCGAATATCGTGATAAATATTTTTGAATCACATTTACCCTACATGGAATATATAACCTATCATCTCAGTCTAATTTAACTTTTAAGATTAGTTTGTCATTCTGGGATTGAAAAATTTACGAATCAACGGATATTTCTTGCTTCTACGATTCGAAACCTGCTGTTTTGTGTTAAGTTCTTCGGTGACATCTCTCACTCAGCTGTTGAAAAGGTTGGGATCGTGAGTTCGATCCCTGACAGCCGATTCACCAACAGGCGTGTGTATGCAGCAAGGCTGTAAGTTGGCTGTGGTGATCAAGTTTAGAGAATAGTGATCAAACTAAACCATTGTCCACGTCGTCAGAAAAAGGTCAAAAAAGCGTGGTAGTCCTGTCATAAGACCCTAAAAAACTGTGGTGCGTGATCAGGATTAGGTTATATGATGAGCATACGAAGTCCTTTCTCAATTTCATAATCTCGGGTCAAGGTTTCATGTCTCACAGTGGACTGATCGTTAAGACACGGTTCCCAGCACATCACGGAAGTCAAACATCACTGGCTGCGGTCAGTGTGACTACTTGGATCAGTCTGCGTAGGGACAGAGGGTCCTCGTTAAACTGTGCTACCGTAAAGTGCTCGACTTCGCGCGCAGGTCGTCGGGCTACCGAAGCGGGGGTGCCATCTCCTCCGCAGAGGATCAAAATTGTGATGGCATGTCTTCGGATCATCCTCAGTGATGTTTCCCAGACCGTCGCCAATAGCCCATTGTGCAGCTCTAGTGCGACGTAATTTAACAACAACAACAGGCTGTTGGGCTACCAGTACGGGGAACCATACCCCATGCAAAAGGTTTGATGGTTTGTCTTCGGATCTTCCTAAGGGATGTTTCCCATACCATCAGCCCATTGTGCAGTTCTAGTGTGACGTGAATAAAGCTCTATTCTTATTTCAAATATTTATTTTTTATATTTTCCAACTAGTGTAATATATATGAACCAAGCGGATTTTCTGTTATCAATATTCAATTATATAGTTTTTCTTTAATTTGGGCTTAACCCAGAAAACAAGAGAACTCTAAAATCACGCATTAGAAAAACCTGCTTTCGCGGGTAATTTAGAACAAAAACAACACGCGTATTTTCAGAAGAAAGTACGAAAAGTTATCTAATTTATGTTATAATTGAAGCATTGTATTAACCGGAAGAGAATGTATAGCTCGTTCACCAGCAGGAGTTGGCATCACGTGGTATGCAACGATACTATTTCGCTATATTTGGGAGAAGGTTGCGGCGATTGTATGGCAAAAATATTTATCTCGCAAACTTTATTTGCATTTTTTTAACATTAAATATTTCATAAGTTTGATGATATTTCGCTCCATTTTTTTATGACATTTCTCTCTTTTGAGTGAATAATTTGTCCTTTTTGAGACATTTTGCTGGGAAAACAGCAGTTTTTAAATTTGAAATATATTTAATGAGCTAGAGGAACGAAAGGTATAATAGAAGATGATAAAGCGAAGTAAGTGACTGAAAAATAAGTCACTGTGTGTGTTTGGTGCGCATTAAAGGTTGTCTCAATTTTAAGCGTGGAGATGTTTCTCTTCTTAATCCAGCGCTGAAATGAGCGTCCGAAGAGGTGGAGCCAAGTGCCAACTCCTGGAGAACGAACTATACTATTTCTTCAAACAGGGAGGGAAAAATTCTAAATATGCGCTTTTAATCCTCTTTATTTAATTAATTTTCACGAATTAACTGATATTTACTCTATTCTGCAGTT